GAGCTGACCGAGCACCCCGCGCTGGGCGGCCCGCTCCTCGCCCGACACCTCGGCCTCCTCCTCGCTGGTCTCTGCCTGCTGGGCCACGGCCCCGCCGCCCACAGCGAGGTCCGTGGGTCCCCTCTCCTCCCGCTCCCCCTGTGCGGTTTGGTGCCAGCGTGGGCACCCGGCCCTGCCGAAAACCCATCGGGGTCACCGGCCTCGCCGGAGCCCGCCCAGCGGCACAGCCGCATGTGCTCCGTGGCTGTGCTGGGCTCCCGCTCACTGAGCCTCCACCGGGCCGCCTGCCCAGCGTCGGCTCCCGTGCCGCGCATGTTCATCTCTGTGCAAGGGATGAGATTGGGAGCTGGGGAGCCTGGCAAGGGGCTGGAGGGGCACCGGCACGCGGTCGGGACTGGTGGGCTTAGTGCCGGTGGCCAGGCTGTCGTCCCCACCCCGGGGTTTGTTTTTTCCAGGGTGTTTCAGAAGCGGAGCGAGCGCGGTGCCGGGAGGCCCTGCGACACATCCTGGACCGCGTCTACCAGCCGCTGGCGGTGCGGGAGCTGCTCGTCCTGCAAGGCCGGCCCAAGCAGGTACCCAGCAGCGGCGGGGCCGTCCCCGGCGCAGGGCGCGTACCGCCGGCGGTGCTGGGACTGTTTGTTCCCGCGCTCCGAGGGTGCCTTTGCTGCTCGCCTGCAAATGTTCTTACACCTTAAAAACCAGTTTGGTGCAGCACTCCCGTCCCCAAGTGCCGTGTGAACACGCGGGCGAAGCTGCTGGGCTTGCATCACTCCCGCGGCGGCAGCTCGGGCCCTGCTGTAGAGGGGCGTGCACGCATGGGTGTGCGCGGACTCCGGGACTCTCATCGCGGCACATGCCGCCTTGGCTTGGCAGTTACATCCGCTGTGCCTGGCCAAGCCAAGCAGCTTCTCTTCCAGAACCTGCCCCTTTCCACTTGAGGGGACGAAGCGGTGCTGCCTCAGCACCGGCTGCTCTTCGTGGCCGTTTCTAAGGCTGCGCGGTGGCAGTGGGGAGGAGGAGATGGGGAGTGGGTGCTGTCTGGGGAGACCTTTGCATTGTGTTTAGAGAGTCCCCAGGGAAGGGACCGTATCCCAGCTCCAAGCAGGTGCTGTGGGTGGGCGCGTGCCCACCTGCCATGTCACAGTTCAGGGTCAGGATGCGAGCAGCTGCTGGCGTGCACGCGGGACAGCATGGGTCCGCTGGCTCAGGCACAGCTCTGTGCTGCACGTTGACCCTCCGTCTGGGATCATGCACGATTCCCGAGCTGGCTGTCCCACGTGCGAGGGCTGCAGAGGGTCCGTGCGAGGAGCTTGCTTGTACGGGGCAGCCCTCTCAGTGTGTGCTGTGGTTCTTCCACGAAAAGCAGGGGTCTCCTGGTTAAACAAAAGCCAAGCTGACATCCCAAGCTGATATTTGCACAGTGCCCTTAATAACATGTTTTAACTTTTGGTCAGCCCTGAAGTGGTCAGGCAGTTGGACTAGACAATCGTTAGGTCCCTTCCAACTGAAAATATTCTGTTCTATTCTGTCCTCCCCAGCACAGCAGTGCTGGCCTGCCTCACTCCTCGGGGTGTCTGAGCAAGCACCTCCATTTGAACCGCTTGCTTTGTGGGTTCGCAGCCTCCAGACAGCTCTGCTGTTTGTGCCGTCCCAGGGGGACTGCTTTGCTCGACGAGGGAGCCTGCGGGCTCGCAGTGCCACCTCCGCAGCCCAGCACTCTGTGCTGGGTCCTGGCAGGGGTCACTGCTGCGGACCTCTTACCTGCATCAAACCTAACTTGTCCCCTGCGCTCCCTGTGCATCGTTTTGGTAACAAGGCAGTCAGAGCTGCTGCCTGACCCTGAGAGGCTTTAATTAAAGGAGGGAAGCTCTGCACGAGGGGATGCTCCTGGGAAGGCTGGCCTCTCTCATTAAGCCCTAATTTGCTTTGTGCCACTGGATGAAGAAGTGATTTATTTAAAACCTTTCCCTGTCCTGTGTTCCTATCTGGTCTCAAGTCCTGCAGGGCAGAGTGCAGGCTGTTTGCCTGTTAGTGGGGGTTTGCACAGGAGTGTGCAAATATGCTCCTTAGCCTGCTCCTTTGTTTCCTTTCAGAGTCCTCCCTCTCCTGGGGAAGAAACAAAGCCGGCCCTTGTGCGGGCTCCGGCATGGCTGCGGCGCCTTTGTGGTCAGCTGCTCTCTGAGAGACTAATGAGACCCAACGGGGTTCAGGCTGTGGTTCGGGGCATCATGGAGGGAACAGGCGGTGAGTAGGGTGCTATGACGCTGCTCTTGGCTTCCAGAATAGCAGATGAAAAGAGACTGTGATGATGTGTCTGAGACGTTTCATCCCATGAGAGGCCCAGGAAAGACAGTGCCATCAGAGCACTGAAATGGGAAACAGCTTTTGTCAGGCCAAGCTGACTCTGTAACAGTCACGCAGATTTTGCCTCTGACTGTGCTGAACTCCCAAACGGTGAATGCCTTCCAACTGCAAATGCCTTTCGTTCGGTGTACACCATCATGTTTGAGGTCCAGACTGAAGGCCTCGGAACTCATTTAGTCTGTTTATGCCTCTGTGGGGTTGCACCTTGTGCATGTATGGAGCGCAGTTCACTCCAAGGAGCTGCACTGGTGCTGGTTTGGTGGGAGCTGTGCTTGGTGCTGGGCTGTGAGCAGCTGCAGGTGGAGTGAGACCCGTCCCGCTCCGGGGCTCAGCAGCCTTGCTCCTCTGCTCTCCATTTCTCACCAGGGAGGGAAACTGTTGCTCTCTAAAAGCTGAATCCCACAGTTTTTAGTGCCAAAGCCTCCTCTGGCCAATACCAACCTGATGCACTGTCCAAACATGACCTTCTTCCACCTTTTGGCTCATACACCTACTTGTAGAAGTTTTTTTCCAGTATCAAAGGTCTTGGGCAATAATTTTTCCCCTTCTGTCATTAAATTCAGATGTCACCTGGAAGATAACTTGGTTTAAAGAGAATAATGAAAGCTAGAAATTGAATTTTGGGCCAGAAACATCTGGCTTCAGCCAAAAATGGCCCTGGTGTTTGCTGTCAGTCTGAGCTGATCTTGGCTTTCTGCTGGTGTAGCAGGTGGCACTGGTGCTGAAGCAGCAGCTGTGGACTGGAGAAAATGTGACACGGTTGCAAAGATCCTGGCTTCCTGCCCGCAGCAGTGCCTTTCCCTTGAGGACTACTACAGACTGGTATGCCCCCAGGTAGGTCCCTCTCTTCCCCTCCCTGCAGCATGCTGGCTCTGGCTGGGAAGATGGAGCCAGCTCCTGGCTTGGAGAGCGTTGGTACTGTCGCTTCTGCTTGAGTGTGGCCTGGCTTGAGCCAGGACAATGTGATGTTTTTCTGCTGCTCTGGCAGTGGTACATGTTTCCACCCTACTCTTGAATTTTCCATATTTGACTGAAATGCTGGTTAATGTTGCCTGATCGCACGAGCTGTTCAGCACTGCGCTATAAGGAGCTCTCTGCTGTGAAGCTCTTGCTTCCAGCCTTTGGCTATGGGAGTGGTGCAGGCTCTTGGTTTGAGCCCAGAAATGCATCCTGTGTTAACATGCGCACGGAAAGGAGACCAGCTCTTCCATATGTGGAATGTTGTGCGAAAATGTCCAATAAAGCAGCATGCAGGAGGCTCCTCAGTCTCCACTGGTGACTGCAAGGAGATGGCCTGCACCTCTTCTGAGGGGCTGCTGATCTTTATTCCTTTATCATGGACTTTCTTTCCAGATTCTGGACTTGCTGCACATCCAGGACAAACTGACAGCGCGCCAGTTCCAGCGAGTGGCCACCACGACGCTGCTCACCATGGCGAAAGAGCACCCTCAGCTGGCAGAGAAGCACCTGCTCCAGCCCATGTTGGCACCACTCCTGCGATGCTCGGAGACAGCAGGTACTGGCTGGTCTCTGCCGAGCCCCAGATCGGAGAACGGTCTGGTTTCTCTCCTCGCTGATCTTTGTCTTTCCATCAGAATTTTCTCGGGCTGGTGGCTGGGCTGCTGAGCGTGCAAGCCCAGCTCTGTCAGTTGTGAACATGTCTGTGTGGCTGGGTACACCATATTTACTAGCACTTGAGTCAGATTACTATAGTGTGAGAGCCAAGTAGTGGGGCTTCTGTCATGTGCTCTTTGGGAAACTCCCAGTCTGCCAGTCTCCTTTTGGGTTTCAGGATGGAAGCCATCGGTTCCCCATGCTGACCAAGCAGCTCTCTGGGGAATAATCCATCAAGAAGTTGTGGTCTGCTTTGATTTGCTTGTAACCTTGTGGAGTTTACAACACTGCAGTGATATTTAGCACAGCTAACAAGAGCTCATTGGTTCCCATGCTGCCCTGATGGACGGAAAGCAAGAGAAGTATCAAAGTGGTTTCCAGAGCTGGCCATGCACGGGTTGCTGTTCTGCTGGAGGCTTCTCGGCATGTGGGGGTGCTGATATTTCTGCCCTTTGTTTTCAGAGCTAGCAGTGGAAGATTTATCAGCAGGGACCGTGCTGGTGACAGAGGCAGAGCTCAGCAGCTGTGTGGAAGATGTGCTCAAGGTATCATGTCTGATTTGGGCCTGAGGGTAGGTGAGAAAACTACTTTAAGAAAAAGCTGGTTTGAGACTTTCTGAGCAATTCAGTGTGTGTGTTAGACCGTGACAAAAACCAGCGTCTCCTGCAGTCGTGATGCCAAGGCAAGGCTGAGAGCTGCACGGAGTAACCTCGTATACAGCACTACCCTGGTAGAACTGCAGCTTATGCTGGATACCAGAGGCACTGCCCAAATCCATTCAGGCATTCTCATCGCAAAACATTTTGCGAGATGGCGGTGAGCCCTTGCTCGTTGTTTTTTCCCCCCAATGTCTTTCTGGTGTGTCAGAGTAAGAAGAGTCTGAGCAGTGGGCTGGTAGCCAGGAGTCTCCATGGTGTTCTCATATCCTCTTCCTCCCCTGCAGCAAGACTCTGAGCATTGCTAAATTGCGCAGCTTCTACAGGACCGTTATGTCTGGATGTACTGTCAGAGCAGCTTCAGGACTTGGGCTGTAATAGTGGAGCAGGCAATAGTAGAGCAGGCAGTGTGGTAGGCAGGAGGTCCTAGTCAGGAGTACCGCTGGCCTGGCACGCATTGCCTTGGGCTGGCAATCCTGGTCTGAGATGATGCTGTTCACCTTCCAGTGTCAGAGTTGTGCAGCTGGTCAGAGGGAAGGACGGATTGCAGGGAATCCTGCAGGTGCTGAATCTTCAGAGGATGCCTGAGTTCTCCTCCCACTCTGTCACTGGTCCCTCTCTTCTTAGTGCCTCCGTGCCTCAGTTTCCTTCCTGTAGAGCATGGATAATATAGTGCATACTGAGCCCAGTGTTACCTGTGTGGGAGGAAGAACCTGCTGGGAGCTGCTCTCCCTGCCTCTAAGGTCTGCAGAGGGCAGCCTGAGCCAGACTGCTGGAGCTGGAAGCCTTTCTACAGCTCCTGCAGCATTAACCCCTCTCAGAGGGATGGGCAGCAGCCAGCTCTTGAGTTGGGCCAAAATGCTTCTGAATGAGTGACCTGGAAAAGAGGGCACTTGAGGTATCGGCAAGTGGCCGGCTGTGCTGGACTGCTCAGCCCTGCAGTGAGGGCAGCTTGGCAGGGTCTCCGGCTTGTCGCTCGGTGGTTGTGCAGCCAGTTGGCAGCGAGGCATTCGCAGTGGGCGCCATGAAGTGAGCAGATTTGATGCGGCTCTGAGGCTACTGAGCTGTTACCAGGGTGAAAAAGAGAGTGAAGGTGAGCTGAGAGGCATCGCAGAGCAGTGGGGAGAGGTGGTGCAGTTATCCTGGTGGCTGCTGTTAGGAAGCAGAGAGCATGTGAGTACGGGGAAAGGAGGGTGGGCAGCAGCTCAGCCACAGGGGAGATGCTGTTAGCGGCTGTGTCCTCACCTCAGGTGTCCCAGCCAGGGGGGGATGACACTGCTGCTGGTCCCTGTGGGGTGTCCCCAGTGGTTCATCTTCCCCTGCTGATATCTGTCGGGGGCTAAAGGCATTACAGTCTGTCTAGTCCCATTGGACAAGTCAGGTAAATTGATAATGATGAGTAAGGAAAAGTGAGTATCCTGTTTTGCAGGGACCATTCTGAGCTGAACCCCGCGACACATGGGTTTCCATGTGCATGAAGTTAATTTTAAAACCACAGGTGGGTAATCCTTCAACAGCTGCTGCTGGGTGTCCAGCCACCTCCTCTGGAGCTGCTCTTGGTGCAGGATGGTACCAGGACGCAGTGGTGAGGCCTCAGAGCTTGTCTGTGTGCCTGGCTGCAGAAGCAGGAGGGATTGCTGAAGCTCAGCAGCTCTCCCAGCCCTGATCAGGTGCTGGGGGATGGGGAGGGTTCAGGAAAATGGAAGGAAACTTGGGTCTCATCAGAGAAACGCTCTGACTTTGCAAATAACAGACCAGCTTCTGTGCTAGAGGAAGTGTCTTGTGGGCAGGACGGTGCAGGTTTAGCACCTTCTGTGGAGCTCCTTCCTGCAAGGGGTCCCTTGGAGTGACAAGCAGGGTGTTCAGCAGCGTAGGTCTTGGCTCTGGCATTTGGGGGAGAGGTGGGGTCCATTCTTGTGTTCCCTGTGAAGGAACAGGGCATTTTGTGGAGGCCTCTCTTCTGAAACCTTCCCTTATAGCTCCTTTTTCTGCTGTTCCCACCAGTATCACCAGTGCCATGCTGTAGGCTTTGCTGCCTGCCCTGACAGCAGCCCAGCATTCTGCTGCACGTTCCAACCCAGAAGGACATCTCCAGCCCAGGAATTCAATTTTCAGAAGCTGGTGACTTGCTTACTGGCATGCCCCTAGGCAGGCTAAGCTCTTAAATGCTGTGATTGTTTTAGTATTTTGCGTAGTAATGATCTGTTGTAACTAGCTGGCAGGCAGAGACCAGTCTGGAGGGCTGCTCTGCGGCTGCCGTTCACAATGCGGGTGCTGGGGGAGTTTGGGGCGGATCCCTCCTTAATGGCATAGTGCTGGAGGCCTGACAGCAGCCAGATTAGTGACGGAGACTCCAGCCTGCGGATTTGCAGGGGTTTCTTGCCTAGCAAGTGTCATTTGATGCTGAGTGAGAAACCATCCTTGGGGCTTCATCAGGGAGGCTTTGTGTACAAAAGGTTCTGGTTAGAAGGAATGGCTCCGTGGGGATTAGCCCAGGAAAAAAGGTCTGTTTGCATCAATACAGCAGGGCAGAACATTATCAGGACAATCTCTCTCCTAGCCCTCCTACCTGGGTTGTCACACTGCCTGGAGGAGGCAAAAGCTCTTTGGTCTGTCCCCAGGGCACTTCCAGCCCTGGAGCAGGTGATTGCTCTCCAGATTGCTCTCCAGCTGCAGAGGTCAGAAGGCCTGGGGAGAGCTCTGGTGTGAAGGGACAACATCTTCTGAGCAGGTAGTTCACCAGCTGACACAGCTGGAAGTCCCTTGGAGAACTTGTGAAAACACTTTATCCACCCACCCCACCACCAGCCCCTGGCTCTTTTTTTTTAAAGCTAAAAGCTATTGAGGGTGGTAGAGCCTGCTGAAATGAGGACCTGAACACAGCAACCCTGAGTAAAACCTGAGTCCAGCTGGGCAAGGCTTGATATTTAACCATTTTCTAGACTGAGTTTTCCCAGCATTATGGCTTTGACTGAAAGCATCCTACCTGGCTATTAGTTTTAGACAATTCCTTTAAAAGGATTCAAAAGGAAACAGAATGTCGTAAGACTTCTGTGAGTGTTTTTCCTGTGCTGTGTGGGCAGCAAGGTGGGACCTGTGTGCAGTGAGCTGGTAACAGCGGCTTTCCTGGGAAGGGGGTGCTGGTTTCATGGAGGAGGGCATTGACAGTGATTCAGGAGGGTGCTGCTTGAGATGGAGGAGAAGAACATGGCCCTACAGCCTCCTCAAAGCCCCTGCAACCCACTTGCTCAGCTCAGCGCATGACAGCCCAGCTGCCCTGCTAGGGACTGATCTCTGTATTTGAGATTTGGCTCTAGGTGCAGTATTTCCATAAAGATTTGCTAATTCAAAGGTGCCTGTTGCATCCCTCTGTAACGCAAGACCTTACCCCTAAGCAGCAGACTTCCTGAATAGCTGGCTGCAGTGTTCCTGTAGCTTGGAGCCCTGCTGTGGTTAAGCAAATGCTAGGAGAAAGATGGTGCTGAAGGCTGCTTTTAACACAGAATATGGCATAATCAGGGAAAACAGGCTCCAGATTGAAAGGAAGAGAGGCTGAAAACCCTCTGCCATCCTCTCTGGCAGCAGCCATTCTGCGCACAGACATGCTTTCTGTCCTTCCCTTTGCCTTCCCTCTGCTCCATGCAGGTGTTTGACTCTTCTCCCTGTGCCCTTCTCTCTGTAGGTGTATGTGGTTGGAAATGACAGCTCAAGCCTGCTGCTGGGATCCTTACAGTCAGTCCTGGGAGTGGTTTTTTCCCTCTATTCCTTCGCCAAGCAGAATGTGTCATACTTACGGTAAGGAAGGATTGTGCACAGCTTCTTCTGGGGTTTCATCTTCTCCGTTCTGCCCACCTCCAAAGGACGTGCTCTATGTGGGCACGTACAGAAGCCGAGACCAATTTTCTCATCCTTAAGAGCTCTCATTCAAAGTAGACAGTAACTGCAGGCATAGGCATGGTACACAACCTTACTGGCAGACCTGTGCCTGAGGAAGCAGTTCTTGTGCTAGTTTTTGTCTTCCCTGAAGCCAAAATGTTTGGTGTAGAGGCAAGCGTGCCTTGTGGGAGCCTTGGAAGCACAGGTTAACTCTTAGTGTCTGCCTAGGAGCAGGGATTGTGATTGTGGATGGAGACGGTGATGCTAGGACCTGGCTGGATGTTGGAGGGATCTGCATACCAGGGATCTAGAAACAGGATAAAAACCTGGATAAAACAGCTTGAGTGCTGGCTCTTGGAAATACAAGATCATTCTTCTCCTATCTGGGATCACTCTCTTCTGATAATGTGCATTTCCTGCCGCTCTGCAGCTGTCCCTCGTGCTCTGCCCAGCTCCCCCATGACTCATGTATGATGGCAAGCGCCATATCTGTTGGTCATGGTGGCAGGGACAGTGGTGACCAGGTGCTGGCTGTCCTCTCTTCTTTCTCCTCCTAGGCTTTCCCTGGGCTGCCCTGAGTTTGGGCCAGCCTAGTCAATACACTCCTGGTGGATTTACACTTTGCTTTGGTGATACTGGCATGTGGGTACTGGAGGCTTTCCCTAAAAGGTCTGTGTAGACACGGCCTCTGCTATTATTAAAGACATCGTTAATCACTTCAAAGAGTAGTGAGTGCTGTGGCAAGTTTGTAGAACAAGCCAAGTTAACACTGCTGCTGGGTGAACAGAGTCACTGCTCGCTTCTCTCTTTGCAAAGGAATTTGGCAGGGGTAACTAAAACCACAGCTGCCTGGAAGTGTTCAGGTTTCCAGACCTCTGGCACAGCACAGCACTGCTACTCCACCTCATTAACCCGCATCTTTCCTTGGCAGTGGTTCCCACGCCACCTTACAGTGCTCCCCGTCTCCTTCCTCCTCTTCCTTGGCACAGCTGACAGCTCTGTGCTTTGTCACGTTGGCATGAAGCACCAGGCACGGCGTGCTGAGGCTGCGTGGAAGCGGCTGTCCTTGTACAGACACGCTGTTCAGACAGTGCTCCCTTCCTCGCTAGGCTGAAATCTTGAAGGACCCAAATCCTTCCATCTGGGAATGCCAGAAGGACAGGATGTGCTGCTGATCCCCTTATAAATTGACACAAATGCCTTCAGCTGCCGGAGCCATCAGCCAGAGCATCCTAAGGAGTGCCTGTGGTCACTCCAGAGCACTCTTTTTTTTTTTTTTTTTTTTTTTTTCCTTCCCCTCGCCCCGAGATGCATGGTCCCATTGCAGTGCTGGTGTGCAGGGAGGGGTGCGGCAGGCAGAGCAAGATGACCACTGCTTTCTCTCTCCTTGCCAGCTCCCCATGCCAGGAGATCCTGCTGTGGTTCTTGGAGAAGTCGGAGCGAGAGGTGTCGCTGGCCGTGCTGGAAGGCTTTGCAGGGCTGAACAGCAGCGTGCGCACCCTCCACCCGCGGTGCCAGTTCTGTGTGGGCAGCGAGGGTGGTGCCACCATTGCAGTGGAGGAGGCCATCAGGTGAGTGCTGTTGGGGCAGTGCCAGGCATGGAGGGCAGTCCCCAGGCATCATTCAGCATGTAGGGCTTTTCACAGCATGCCTGGCAGAGGGAGCCCAGGCAAGCGTGGGGCTGCCGGTGCCGTCCCACCACAGTCTCATCCCCCCAGCCACCCAGGTAGTTCGCTGTCTGCGTCGAGCTTGGGCAGGCAATGCTTCCACACAGCCTCCAGGTTCCCTGTACACGGCGCAGAGCTCTGACTTTCAGCCCTGAAAAGCAGCACACTCTTGAGTGTTAGTGTGTACTCTCTCTGTGCTTTTCCTGAGTCCCGAGTCCTGCCTGCAGGGTGTCTGGGAATAGGATGTGCTTCTTTAGTTCCAATGCTCCCCAAATTCAAATTCCACCGTCCAGCCTCAGGCTGTCTCGTGGCAGATTGTGGCCGCGTGGAGTGAGTGAAATCCTTTGGGCACAGGAGGCACCGTCGCAGCAAGGACTCTAGCAATGCCAGCATTGCAGAGCCAGCGACTGAACTCCCCTCCTGCTGTTGCAGATGGCCTCTACAAGTAGAGGCAGAGCGTGGCCATGTGGGGAATAAACTGCAGCCATTAGACTCCAGCCATGCAAACTGGGACTGTTCAGCAGTGTGACATTTGGTTTTAAGAGGGGTAGCTGTTAGCTGGCAGGTACGAGCCCAAGGCAGTGCTATTGAGCAGGCAAAGCACACAACTCCTGCCCAGGAGTGTCTGTGCGGTGGGTGTGCTGGGAGCTGTGTGCACCAGTAACAAAATGCCATGCAAATATGCTTGTTTTGGTTTCATTTCAATCTATTCCTGACCTGAATTAGAAGAAGGTCTGCCCTGGGGTCTGCACTGGTTAAACTGGCTATACTTTTAAAATTACTCCCTAATGGCCATGGCTCTGCTTGTGTCTGTCCTCCTTTTATGGCTATGACCGGTGCATGAATTAGCCAGTGTTAATCCCGTTCTTTGTAGCATGGCTGGATTAAACATGTGTTTTGCGCTCATGGTTCCTGTTAATGTTATTCCTTTAATGAATGCAGGTTAATTAATAAGCTGAGCGCGTGATCATGTAGACCAAATGAACTGAGCAATAGTTTGGCTCGGCTGCCTCCAGGCTTCTGCTTTCTGGTAGTGCTGTGAAGGAAGGTTTCCAAGAGAAGGCAGAAGTGAGATTTGACCTTGCCATGCAGTAGTTTAAAGCCAGCCCTGGAGGGCGTCTGGGTACGTTTGTGTTGGTGACACAGTGACCTGTTTCAGCGATGAAGATGAGGCCCTCTACCAGAAAGTTTCCTCAGAGCAGTGCCATGTGGAGAACTTGGTGGAGCTCTTGTCTCACTGCCAAAAGAGTGGTCTAGCCGGAGACTTCTTCATCCGCTGCCTGAAGGTAAGGGCAGGCAAGTCTCTGGTTGTGGCATATCTGCAGAAATGGTTTCCCTGGGCCAAGTGGTCTGTGTGGCAGACAGCAAAGGAGACTGGTCATCCCCTTACCTGCCTCGGGAGCACTGGGCTGGGATACAGCACGCAGTGGAGGAGTCCTGCTGCGTGCTGGGCAGGAGAGTGTAGGAGAGGGAGGCAGCCCTGGTCCCTGAAGGGATTAACCCTCGTTCCCCCTGGACGCTTTTGACAACAGGAGTATGTCTGAAGTTTAATGGTGTGTTTAAGGCTGTGAATAATCCCTGTTGCTTCCTTGGCTCTAGCGGAGGGGCCCTGGCACCTGCTCCCTTTGATCCTGCTCAGAGCCCCTGCAGTTCCCTCCTGGCCTTGCCTGGGCTGGGCTTTCTGTGCCCTTGCTGGCAGGTGGAGCTTCAGCCCGTAGTCACACGGGGTTTGCAATGTCCCAGGTGTAGGGATGCTGCTGTGACGCAAATGGGACACCCAGGAGCTGTAGGCAGCTCTCAGAGACCTTGATGTACTGAGTGGAAGGTCCTGGTTGTGTGAGGGGTCAGCACAAACTCTGCAAAGGGGATGGAGGTCCGGGTGCCTTTGTGAGCAACCACTGCCAAAAGCAAGGCTGCAAGCAGAGACCCAGCACGCCTCACAGCCCAGAGGATGGCTGGTCCTAGGAGGAGTGCTCGGTGGTGCTCTGTGTGGCATCCACGGGGATGGAGGTTTGCAAGGGTTTGGCCTGGTGACAAGTGTGTGTGCATCTGGAAAGGGATGAGGCTGGAAGAGAGGAGGTAACCGGGAACCCTTTGCAGCAGGGTGGAGGTCTGGGTAATATAGACCTGCTGGGCCCAGGACCGCTGGCGTGGTGACCACAGTGTTCCTGGCACTGATTTGCCTCTATTTAACCATTGCCTCTCCATGTCCTGTGGTTCCTTCCTGGCAGGCGCTGACTCAAGTGGCTGCGGAGGACGAGGTGGCTTTGAATTCAGCTGCGGTGCCTGGCGGGAGTCTCCTGGAGCTGGAGCAGTACCATGCCGAGCAGAGGAGGAAGCTACTGGTCCTGCAGCTTGTGGCCACGCTGTGTGAGAGCGTCTCGGACACCGTGTTCACAGATGTTGCTCAGGTTGGTCATGGCAAAGCCCTGGGGGATCGGCAGCTGGAGCACGTGGCAGACCGAGCTCTGGGCTGCTGGGCTCTAAGGAGACAATGGCTAAGAAAGAGCTGGAGAAAGCTAGAGCATCCCCAGGAAAAGCAGTTTATTGATTCAGTTGCAAGTGTCTCAACAAGACACCGTCCTCTGCAGTGCCAGCAGGAAGGACAGAGTCAGCTGCAGAGACAGGATGGAGCAGCCCAACAGACATCTTTGTATTTGTGTCCATGGTTGTCTATTAAAAGCCAAGAGAGTAGTCTGTGTGTTAATCGGAACTCTGACTTACCAGCTTCTCATCTTTATTTTGAGCAAAACTTATTCCCGAGTTTAACAAAGCTTAAAGACATCTGTACCTGGCAGACCTTATTGGTGAGTGCTTGCTGCCTATCCGTGGTGTTGGTGCCTGGTTTTTCTGGCACATCTCGGCAGCCACCTCTGGGAGCTGTGGTAGCTGGGCTGCCAGCTGGATGAACACAGCATTGCTGCTGTGTCCTGCTTGCCCCTTGTCCCTGAATAGGCCATTTGTGGTATTTCTGTGGTTTCTGCTGCTGGGACGCCTGCACCAGCTGGTGTGTCTGGTCATCAGGGTTGGCGTAACTGTGCTGATATGGTTGGCATTTGTCCATGTCTTCATGAATGGGCAGCCACAAAATGTATTAAATATTATAATTTCAAAGGCCAGCTGGTGTTCCTTGAACCTGGTACCAAAAAGGGTGGTTAAAATATGGCACTTCTGTCCTCCCTGAGCCCACGCTGCAGCAGCACTGAAGGGGTTGGCTGTCCTGCACTGTGCCAGGTCAGGAAGGCTTTTGGGTTCCAAGGGCAGCACAGTATTCCCCATCAGTCTATTTTAACTTCCTCATCCTGGGTTATTAATTTTTTTTTTTAACTCAGTGACCTGGTTACGCCAGTTAACTCTGGCTTGAGCGGAGGCAGTCACTGCTAACACAGGTTTCCTCACTTTTCTCTTTGGGACAAAGGAGTCTTTGTGTGCGCTCTGCAGTGACAGAGGGGACCCAGCCGGTGTCATTGCGGCGGTGCGGCAGCCAGCACTGCTTTGTCCTCACCTGCCTCTCCATCACACCCACCCACGCAGGACTGGCTCTGCTCCCTGGGCCAGAAAGGATTTTGGGGAAGGATTTTGCTGGGTTTCTGGGTCCAGCCCTGAGTCTAGTATAAAAAGAAACAACCACCAAAAAAAGAAACCCAGACAAAAAAACCATTATGCTTCCACCTGGGGGTTGTATTTCAGGGAGGGCTCCCTCGGGTTGGGACAGGCAGTTGCAGAGCTGTTTTTAAGCAGGTTCTGCAGCACAGGGTTCCTCCAGGGTGTTTGTTCTTGCTGTGGGCACTCCAGTGTGTGGCTTTGTGCTTAATGGGTTGGAGCAAGCAGGATCCGCCTTCCCAAAGCCAGACCCCAGGAATGGCAGCAGCTGTGGACCCCCTCAGTTGCACAATTTATTTTATTTACCCCCCCCCCCCAACCAAGTTTCATGAGATTGACTTGATTTCCTTGATTACGCCAAGGATGCTTTCCTCCTGCATGAGACAGAAATGTGCCTCCGTGTTTTATTTTTTCAAGCTTTTTTCCCCTTCCACATTAAGGTGTTTGGGGTTTTTTTTCCTTCTAGATGAGTTTTTTTTAAACTTTTTGTTTTTCTCAATAGCTATCTACTGATAGATTATTTATTGATTAAGTTCTTATTTTTTTGCATTAAATATAATTTCAACCCATTCAGTTTGTGTGTCACTGTTTTGTGAGAGCAGATGTTCTGACACTTGTTTTTACTTTCTTGCTGTTTGATGGCATTTCTTTTCTGGACTAATCAGCCCAGAAGGTACCTAAGCCTTTTCCGCAGCCCCTCCCAGCCAGCCTCCCTCCTTGCTGCAGTAGGGATGTGCTTAACTAAGCTGGCAGCGATCAGCTCTCCTGCTGCTGAGGAATTGCGTTGCCTGCACCCAGTGCCTGTGCCCTGGAGGCTGGAAATGTAGGGTTTGGTGCAATAATACCTTGTTGCCCTTGTACTTTGTTTTCCAAAATAGGAGCAAAATAGTTCCTCTTTTGCAACATGCCTGTTATGTAGGAATGACCCTGATCCAGCCCCTTCCCAACAGAGCTCGCCCCAAGATGTGCAGTGAGCTTGCCCCGAGCCATGCGGTGCCAGCACAGCTGGCAAAGGCATAGAGACAATAAACTCACTAATTTCAAGATCCTTTAGATGTGCAGGAAGCCTGTGGTATCAGAGGGTTTGGTGCCAAGTGTCGAGAAGGCAACAGTGCCAGCCAGCCAGGCGGGATCGTTACGGGCTTGGGGGGGGGGGGAAGTATTGTGAGAAAATCACAAGTAAGCGACACACGTGGTGAATGGCCTGGCTCGAGTGTTGGATGTGTGTGGGTAAATGGTGTCCGTTCCTGGCCTGGGGCAGGGAAGGGGCTGTCTTCTTCCCCAGAACTTGCCGGGAGTGCGGGCAGGCGTGATTTTTTTGTTGTAATGAAGTTTATTGGAGCCGTGCTAACTCCCCGCTCAACTCTGTGTCTGGCCGTCACTGCTGTGCTGCGTGCCGGCTGTCTGCAGTCCCAATGCCTTGCTGCAGCCGTGTACACTTTAGCTCTCGCTGTCACTGCATCTACTTGAATTTTCCAAGCCCAAGCCTTTCTCTAGCACAATTTCATACAAACCCTTCGTGCTTCCACGTTGCTGCCACCACCCTGACCTTCCCTCTCAGACCCATCCCAGTTGGCTTCCCAGCTCCCGTCCCATAGCCATGGCGGAGCAGGGACAGGGGCCAGAGAAGGTACTGGGCTGCCTCCCCCTGCTCCTGCAGCCCCTGCAGGGGCTTCTCCTGCTGAGAGCAGCCACCGCAGTTCAACCATCGCCTTGTCCTGAGGCTGTGGCAGATGGGGAGCGCGAGCTTGCCGGAGCCGGGCAGCTGTGGTTGTGGCTGTGGTTGCCCAGGCTGTCTGGCTCAGCTGCCCTCCCAGTCCGGCTCCCAAAACCCTCGCCTGCAGGTTCAGACAGCCCAGTACAGGGCTGGGGGCCGCGGCCCTGGGAATTCAGCCTGTCCATGCTGCTGCTGGAGGGGTGGGCAGCGGTTCAAGGGCTCCAGCACCCCCCGCAGCTGCCTTGGGAGCCCCATCTCCCTCCTGCATCCCCATTGCATCCACAGCTGGGCTGCACCAGCAACCCAGTTGTCCCCCAGCTCCCCGGTGCTGCTGACCCCACTCACCTGGACTGGGGGATGGCAAGGGAGCTGGGAAGGCAACTGGGATGGGTCTGAGAGGGAAGGTCAGGTTGGTAGCAGCAACAGGGTAACCCGAAGGGTTCGTATGAAATTGTGCTAGAGAAAGGTTTGGGCTTGGAAAATTCCAATAGATGCAGAAGAGACAGTGAGAACTAAAGAGCACGTGGCTGTGGCAGGGCACCCCGAGGTGCGGGCAGGGGCAGGCAGCGGCAGCCTCCTGGGAGAACCCTGGGGATCCCCTCTCCTAACTGCTCTTCCCCGCGCTCTCCGCTGGCAGGTGGAGGAGTTCGTGGCAGCCACGCTGCAGCGGGCCTGCGTCAGCCCGGCGCGGGGCCCCGGCGCGGCGGCAGAGGTGCAGACCCTCACCATGGCCATGGGGCTCGTGGCTGCCATGCTCGGCGGAGCCGTCCAGGTGAGGGGGCAAAGCTGGGATGCTCGGCGGCCGTGGGGAGGGGGGAGACCGGGCACAGTCCCGCCATGCTCAGCCGAGGGGTGCTGCAGCCGGTGCTCTGGGGTCTGGGTGCTCCCTGGTTTGGGGTCCCTGTTCATTCCCAGTGTGTATATGTGTCTGTATATATACATACATATATATTATTTTTCCTCAGAGTGGTTCCAGGGTGCTGGCCGAGGGTTTGATCCCAGCAGGGCACCCCTGAGAGCCTGATTACTTAATTTATAATCCAAAATCTGCTTCTGAGAAGGCACTGACAGAGCAGTGTGGTCACGTACAGCGTCTTTAAATACCAACACTGCATCCTCTGCATCCCTACATGTCCACAGGCTCCATCTCTGGAGCGCAATGAACTTCCTGCTGTGGGCTGTACCATTCTTGAAAATCCTTTATAAAAACAGTACATCACTCCGTTACCCCATTATACGGTGTGAGCTGAACTGCCATTGGGGAGCGATCGTACGTTCGTTAGTGTGCTGCAATCACTCCGGCTTGCACTTACATCACTGAGCTGCCAGGGTTGCTTCATCCCCGGACCTGCCCAAAGGCAAATCCAACTGTTAATGGAAAAAGATAATTTATTGTGTCTTATTGCGAAATTCCTAACATTCAGAAAAGAGCATTATTGAGTTGGAGAAAACTTAAAACCAGAGTCTTGCAGCTCTAATGGGCCCCCTCCCAGGCGAGCTCCTGCTTCCGCTCTGGTGTTAATAGGAGCAACTTAACTTGGCAAATTGAATGTCAAAGGTTTCGGAGGCAGCTGCAAAGCTGTTTGACTGTCAAGGGCCAAGGGTTTTTTTACACAATCATGCAAAAGCTCCCCAAAATCTCTGCTAAAGCATCACTTTTCAGGACTTACAGCCCAGATTTTGCTGTAGCAGTTAAATCCAGGTTAGGGCAGGAACTTCTCCCCCCTTGGGCACTCCTGTGGCCTCAGGACAGCTTGCAGCTGCCTTGCCTGGAGCTTTCTTCCAGGCAGGACCGAAAGCAAATCCCACATGGCGCTGGCAAGGTGGTGGAGGGATGTCCCTGGCTCAGCCCTCATGCTGAGCATGAAGGTCCCACATGGACACCACTCTCCTTTGGGCTCTTGCCCTTCCCACCTTCTCCCGTGGCACCTCGGGGCCAGGCTGGCACGGTCGCGGCTGTTGCCAGCATCTCCCCTGCCAGAGGTGCCACAGCTGGGATCAGCACTGGGGCCTCGGGGCATCACTGGCGAGGAGTTCATGGTGCCTGGAGCCCAGTTTGGGGGGACGGACACACAGGGCAGCCGGCTTGGCACTGCCACGGGGCTACAAAATGGTCTCTGGGCTGCCTGACTCCGTTGCCAGGAGCATCCCAGGGAGCGAAACTCCATTGCAGCGATGCCAGGGCTGCTTCTCTCCCTCCCGCAGCTGCAATCCAGTGACTTTGCCGTGCTGAAGCGGCTGGTGCCGTTGCTGGAGGAGCTTTCCCGCACCTACCCCGAGCCCCTCACCCAGGAGCTGGCTGCGGACCTGCGCATCGCCATCTGCACCCATGGAGCCTTCTCTCCCAGGACAGTGGGCGCCGCTGCCGACGGTGTGCTGGGAAAGAAGCTGGGAACGGGAGCGCAGAGCCCTGGCGGAGCCCCAAGCCCGAGGGGTGGCCGGACACCGCCACGGCACGGCCGCAGCAGCCCCTCGGCTCCCAGGGAGAGGAGCGAAGAGCAGAGCATGTGCCATGAGGCTGGCGACATGGGTCCCGCTCCAGCCCCGTGTACCGACAGCCCTGCCCTGGCTGGGCTTCAGGAGCTCCTGGTATCAGCCTACGACCCCCAGCCCCCCAGCCGGGCAGCTGCCCTGCGCCACCTCTCCAGCCTGATCACGCAGCGGGATCCAGAGGCACTTCGACTTCAGGAGAAAATCCTGCAGGTACCAGGCTCCCGCCGCGGTTCCCATCCTGCTCTGTGGTGCAGAGCTGGGGCTGAACATGCCGGCAGGCTGGGGTTGGTATTACCGGAGCTCTCCAACTTTGCCATCACCGTTGGCTAAAGGCGCCAGGTGAGAGGGACCAGGGCTGCCAGCCCAGCATGGTGCCACTGCCAACTGCTCTCCCTCTTCCTCGCAGGTGTTCCTGGAGAACGTGCAGCACGAGGATGCCTTCGTCTACCTCTCGGCCATCCAAGGTGAGCGATGCCCGGCTGGGGCGAGTGCCGATGCTTCGTAGGAGAAGGTTTTGTGCTGGGGGTGCTTTGGGCAGTGAGAACAAAGAGTGGCAGAGCTGCAGCCAGGCTGGGGACTCAGCATCATCTTCCCTCCCGGACCGCATCTTCATGCTGTTCGGTTGAGCCTGGAACCGCGTGCGTGTTCTGCACCATGTTCCCGAAGTTGGTGGGCTTCATCTCCCAGTTGTGCTTACTCAGTGGGTAATTAGTTCATTTACCCTGTGACTGAACTGCTGATCTGCCCAGACCACAAGCACCTTCTTGGTGGAGCCAGAGCCTGAGGCGAGGGCACCCTGGGCAGGTTCACCCTCAGGGCATCCCCCGGCCAGAGGACACCCTGGAGCCAGTCACCGTCCCTGTGCCAGGTCCGTGCTGCCAGCCTGGGGCTGCAGTTCCAGCACGGTGTGAGCACAGCCCTGGCACACCAGCCCTGCACCCGGCTGACATTTTGGTTTGCTGGTCTGTTCAGCTGAGGCTGGCAGAGGATCTGGGGCCGTGGGGACCCACTGGTGCTCCCTCGGGCTCTGCCACGTCCATGCCCATGGCCATGGCGGTAACTACCAACCCGTGCTGGCCAGCCATGTGGATATGGAACGACGGAAGCATGTTCTGAGTTGGTTCCCCGATCCATTGCATCTCATGGCTTCACAGATTGCTGCCCCTGCTGAGGGGGGAGAGCAGCGGTGGGCACACATCCAGCCCTGGTGCTGGTCCTGGCCGTGCAGGCAGGAGGTGGAGGGTGGCAGGGTGCAGGCAGTGGGCTGGCAGGAGAGCAGCGTGCTGCTCTGCTCACTGCTGGCCACCCTTCTGTCCGTGCTGGGCCGCTGCTGGGGGCACTGAGTGCTGCCGCCGCTCACGCCGCTTCCAGGGAAACCTTGGGTCCGCGCTTGCTCAGCACAGCGCCACGGCACCAGGCTGCCCGTTGGGATTTGCAGGCAGATGCCTCCACACCTGGGATAACACGGGCATCCTGTGTGGCAGCGGGTCGCGGTGCGCCGGGTTATATGGAAGGAAGGTGCCATTCCCATGGCCCAGAGCGATACCGGCGCCGCTGGGAGCCCCGGTTGCCGTTGGGTAGGTAACCTTCAGCAGCAGCTGGAAAAGGAGCTTATCACCATGCTTCCCTCTGCCTGTACGGTCTTGAGTGGGACGGGTTTGTCCTTGCCCCGCAGGTGAAACACAAAGGCTTCAACCGTCCCCAGGTGATTAATACACCCTGTGCAGCTGCCTCCGTGTTTCGCAGCTCGGCTGCGGCTGTGATTAACCGTGACGCGGTTCCTTGCGGCAGTGACTCACCCAGCCCATGCCGCACTGGCAGCGGCACCTGCGCCGTGCCATGCGCGGTGCTGGCGACTGTGCCAAGCGGGCTCCCCAGTGCCCTGGTTGGGCTCCCCACCACAGCGGCAGGGCTTGCCTGCCAGCCTGCTGTGCTGTGGCTGGGACCGGAGCCGGCTGCTGCGCCACTGCTGGTTATCACAGAGCCGGGCTCCGGCGAGGTGATGCTGGAGGAGAGGTTGCTGCTCTGCCAGACGTGCCCAGGCTTGCAGAGGGTAACCCACACCGGTTGCCCTCCGATAACCAGGGAATGAGGTTGGAGGTGAAGGCGGCTGCTCCTGGAGGGCAGGGGAGCTGGGGCTCACCGTGACTCACCGCTTGGCACTGCCGGGGCAGCCTCTGCCGTTTGCCCTTTCCCTGGAGAGCAGCTGCCTTTTCCCATTGGAGAGGTGCCCGCTGCCTGGGGAGCCCGGTGATGCTGGAGCCCTGGCCAGCACTTGCCACCAGCCCACATCTCTAAAGGGATGGTGAAGCCAGCCCCGTGGCATAGCCCGGCACCCATCCCATGTCCAGGATCTGACCCTTCTTCAGCCCCAGGGAGATGCAGCAGGCACAGGGCGAACTCAGGCTCTGGATCCCAGCCTGGGCCAGGCAAACCCAGGGGCTTTGTGGAGCCCCGGCGGGGCCGAGGACACATCAGCAGCGTGTGCCCAACAGCCAGGAGCTGAGAACAGTGACCAGACACTGTGCCCGAGCATCATCTGCGGTACTTGGCTGCCCCGATACTGGGCCAGCCTGGGGTGAGCCCCGCAGCATCTGACGGCCGGCATGCCGAGTCAACACTCAGTCGATGAACATTAACCAGCGGCAATTAGCGGGCACCTGCTGCCAACTGCTAAATTATTTATTTTTCAGCTTGGCACCCAACCAGACCTGGTGCTGGGCTGCCCCAGTGCTGTGACTTTGTGCAGAGGGGCTGCAGGATGTGCCGCGGGGCCGGGGCGGTGCACAGGGTCCCGTGGGTGATGGCTGCACCAAGGGCACCAGGGTGGCATAGCCACGGCGGTTCCTCTGCCAAGGCCAGTGGTACGTGCCAGCCTCATGCCCGGTCCTGACCTGTGCTTTCCTCTCACTCTCCCCCCCAGGCGTTGCCCTGCTCTCCAGTGAGTACCCAGAGCAGATCCTGCCCGTCCTGCTGGCACGGTACAGGGCCCCAGCACAGGGCATGGAAGATACTGCGGCCGCCATCACCAGGATGAAGCTGGGCGAGGTGCTGATGCGTGTCACCCAGGCGCTGGGTAAGTCCACAGCCGCGTCCACGAGCCCGGCAGTGGCGGCCGCTGCCGGCAGCCACGGCACCGCTCGGCCCTTCGCTGCTCTCTGCCATGCTGCCAGGTCCAAGGGGTAAAGCCCACGGGGGCTTTTTGTTGTCCGAAGGTGAGAACCAGCTCCCATGGCCCCGCTGCAGGGGGGTCTGGAAGCCGAAGGGTGGCTGGCCAGGGTTTGCCAGCGGGCAGGAGCAGGGCAGCAGATCCTGCCAGCAGCCCACCGTCCCCTCGGCCGGCAGCGCTGGGCTCAGAGACTGCTGGGAAGCGCCCGGACACGCAGGGCTGAGGGGTAAAAGCTGGATGAGGTCTTTCCGGCAGCCACTGTTGGGACATGTCCTAAAGCGCCTCATCTTATTCCCCAGCAGAGGCCAGGCCAGTGAGAGCACGCAGCCGGAGCGCTCCGTGGCCAGGGAAGGCGACAGCCGGTCCCCAGTCCCCGGCCGGGTGCTTTGTTCCCCAGTCGGCCATGGCAGAGCCGACCTCCTCCTGCAGAGCCGGGACTGCCCGAGCCCCGCGTGTCCCCCAGCCGTGGTGGCATCCCCAAGCTCTGCCAGCTGTGGGGCATCCCACTGGGGCCAGTAGTCCCTGGGCCAGGTTGTGCTGCTCCCCTGCCCTGCTGCCGGGATGGGGACAGGGCATCCTATGGACCAGCAATCCCATCATCTCCCCGTGGAGCTCCAGCGAGCGGTGTGAGTGGCAGCAGAGCCTCCTGGTCTCTGAAGTCCCCCGGGCGACGTCCATGCGTCCAGCCCTCGCCTTGCCTGGCACGGCAGCCGCACCGCACTGGGTTTCCCTCGGCAGCTGCCCACGGCACGGCTGGCAGCGGGATGGTGGGCACGGCCTCCACTGTGGCTCTCCCCACTCCCCATGGTGCCTCTGCCGCGGGCAGCAGCTCTGGCGCGTCCTGGCTCGCCTGCGTATTTATAGAACAAATCACATGAAGTTGTTTTTGTTGCAAAGCTTCGGGATTCAAGAGTGAGGTTTTATCCGGCACTTCCAGAAACGCTCTGCTCTGTACAGCAGTGCTGCTGCAGTTCGGAGCTCTTCTGCTGCTGCCCGACGACTGCTGTGCTTCCCTTCTGCCCCATCCCTGTCCCCGTTCCTGCCTGCCATCCCACTGGAGTGGCTTTTTTCCCATCCGGGAGGGCATTTTGCAGCAGGTGCCTATCACCTGGCAAACAGCCGGTGTGGGCAGTGTGGCTGGAAGCACACGGCAGCCCCGTCCCAAGCATGTGGCGTCGTTCCTCTGCCTCCAGCAACACAGGGCCGAGCACCGCGCAAGGGTTCATGGAGACCTTGCACTGACCCAATTAGCTTTAGCTGCAAACCCATTAAATCTGCTCTGGGTGTGCCATGGCAGACCTTTTCCCTTCTCTGTCAGGCAGCATGTGCCTTGCTTGCTGCAGGAAGGGAAATGCTTCATGCTCTTTCTGTGGCTGTCCAGCACAGGGCCGGTGTGCTGCTGGCTTCGAAGGAGGTGCATCATGCTCAGATCACCCAGCACTGCTCGGACTGCTTTAATACCAACCCCTGGGGTGCAAGCATGGAGCAGGCTGCGTTCTCGAGCATCCTTGGCTGTCCTTGGCCCGAGCTCTCCCACCTAGTACCACACAGGAGCCGTCCCTGCCCCTCCGAGCATGCAGTCCTTTAGTAAGAGGGAGCGCCATGTAGGAAAAGTGAAGCTAGGACGGGACGGTCCTACAGAAGGACCCATCTGCCTGCCGCCTTGCCTGTTCCTGCCCAGCTCTTGGCCATCACGTGCAATATTTCCCCTCCTTGCACACAGATGGTGCTGCCAGGCTGTCAGCGTGCCGGCAGTGCAGGGGGCTGGCCAGTCCCCAGCACCTCGCAGCAGCGGCCCCGAGCCCCTGCGTGCAGGGTGATGGGCTCCCTCCGCTGCCCATAGGGCTTATTCCTGTCCTGGCATCCTGGGGCTTCCCAAGGGCATCCCAGGGCATCCCGCTGCCTCCATTGGCTGCAGGACACCAACATCCCAGGGGCTTCCAGTGCCACGCTTTCCGGTCGCAACAATCTAGGAGAAACGACGCATCGCCAGGGACTCGCCCTGGGGAGAAACGGACCAACACAGATACTGTGGATCAAGCGATTTCTCCGTTTAATTGCTGCGTAACACTTGGTTATATACCATAGCCATGCGCAAGCCATCTACTGATTGGTTAACATGTGCTGTCCACGCGCCTAAAGCAATAGTTCGATTGGATAAGGTCTTCTGGTCACGCAAATGATTCCTCCTGTCTTTGTCTTGCCGGGTGTCCTGCTTTCGGTCACGTAGGCCCATCTTCTTTAGCTTTTTGTGCTTATTTCATCAAACTTTGTAGCAACAGTTAGCCTTCGCTGCGTCCTTGAGGCCTGCTACTTGCAGGTGCCTCTGGCTCAGATTGAACAGCCCCATTGTGTCTCTCGTTCGCTATGTATCTATTTTTCTAATTATCCCACATCCAGAGCTCAGGAGAGCCAGGAAACCACTGAGCTCATGGGTCGGTGAGCCTGCCAGGGCTTCCTTTCCTCCGTTACTCCCAGGCAAGTGCCGCCCCGCGCTGCCCTCGGCCGGAGCAGCCCCTGCCCGGTGGGAGCCGTGCCCACGCTGTGGGGTGCGCGGCCGCCGGCCATCCAGCTCGCACAGGAGGACCACACGCCCGGGGCGATTGTACATGCCGGTCACGGGCTCCGCGTGCCGACCTCTAATTAGGCGGCTCACACATCCGCGGCGCCTGCGTGTGCTAATTGGGGTGGGGGGTTGTGCGGCTGAATTAAGTGAGAAATTAGGCTTAGCACTTTGTTTCTCTGCGCTGTATCTGCGATCACCTCTGAACGGCCCTGCAGGAGCCAGGAGGACGTGGGATGTGCCGGACAGCCCCAGACAAAGGTCTTTGCTGTGGGGTACGTGCCACTGGGGTTTGCCGGCGCGCCAGGGGACTGCGCCGCGGCATCCTCGTCTCTGGCACCACCGTGGGTCCCTGGTGAGGCTCCATCTGTGCCTCACCCAGAGCTGTGCCCAGGTCCTCACGCTGGGCACAAGCCACGCTCCAGTTGTTGCATCCAGCTGTTTGGCGGTGCTGCAAGGCAGGGGGGCCCGATCCGGCTGCTCCCAATGGAGCCAGGTCTTTGGCAGGAAGGGGCTGTGGGTTTTTCCTTGCCCGTGACGTGCCACTCTGCTCTCTCTTGCAGGGGACATGGTGTTCAAGTACCGGGAGCCGCTGGTCCAGGCCTTCCTGCAGGGTGCACGGGACCCCGACAGCGCGCTGCGGGCCAGCAGCCTCTCCAACCTGGGCGAGCTCTGCCAGCGCCTCGGCTTTCAGCTGGGCTCCATCGTCCAGGAGGTACCGGCTCCATCCCAGCCCTGCCGGCCCCTTGCCTGGGTCCCTGCCTGGGGAGCGCGGGGCCATCGCTCGTTAACGAGGGTGGTTCGTTAGCGGATGGCAGGGCTGCTGAGCGCTGGCTGCTGGGGACACAACAGCCTGGGGGTTGCCATAAAGGACATGAGCGATATTTGCTGATATTGCAGAGTATAAAAGTCACTGGACCTGACGCAAACACTCAGGAAATTCTAGCCCTGATTTTTAGGGCTAAAAGCTTTATAATCAGCTAAGGATGTCACTTGTGCAGGGAAGCAGTAGCCCAAGGACAGGCAGTGGTGCCTGCTCCACCCATGGCAATCACACTGCAGAGGAGACCTGGGGGCACAGTTAGTATTTGCCAGAGACACCTTCTCCCCCACTTAATGAGACCTCGTTACCCTTTCCGTTATCAGGAGGCAGCTGATGGCTGGCGGGGAGTGCAAGGTCCTCACCCCGGCTGCAGGCTTCCAGTGAGATGCGGCTGCCAGAGCCACCAGAGCTGTGGTCTCGGTGGAGTGAGCCAACTCTCAGGGGCTCAGGCTCTCAGAGGGCTGGGGGGGGGCTTGCTGGGAGGTGCCGGCATCATGGTACGGCAGCCCTTGAGTTGGTGGGTCTGTGCCCCCATGACAGCCAGAGCTTTGGCCTCCGGTGCCTCCCAGAGCAGGAGGGAGGTCAGGAAACATCAGGGATGTAGCGCTCAGGCTTCTTCCCCGGTCCCCGCTCGCAGCCGCTCAGCATCGGTGGGGTACCGGCAGCGTCTGATGAAATGCCAATGCACCACATGCAGCTATTTCGGGAACACGCTAGCTCTGCTAATTCTTCTGGCTGTCACTGCCGGGGGTTTAATTAGGTTCCTTTGACTCTGCCCGCTTTTTATAAAGCTTTCCAAGGCATCTGCATGCCACCCAGCCCCTGTGAGAGGGAGGGCTGCTCGGTGCCCCGTGCCCCGCAAAAAGCCAATCCCCCTGGTTGGGTGCTGGCAGGGGAACGCGCGGCTACCCCAGGCTGGGTGCAGGACTCCCATCCTCATCCTCCAGCCCCAGACCCCCAAGGGAGGTCCCCACCACCGTGGCCGGCTGCTCTGCCGGGTCCCCCTGCGTCCCCTGACAGCCCCCTTGCCCTGTCCCCACAGGTCACCTCCTGCTTGACGGCCATAGCCAAGACGGACCCCAAGGCGGAGGTGCGAAGAGCGGCCGTGCACGTGGTGGTACTGCTGCTGCGGGGACTCAGCGAGAAGGCCACCGAGGTGGGTCACCTCTCCGCTTGTCCCTGGGGCAGGGGCAGCCTCTGCCAGGCTCCTGGGCATCCCTGGGCACCAGCACAGCACTCCTCAGGGACAGCTTCTGCCCCACGGGGGCGGCAGGGCTCATTCCCAGGCAGCTTCCAGGGAAAGTCCCATGGGACCGGGACTGCCAGCTTGTGCCTCTCCCACCAAAGGGCCCCCCCCCAGTGCTGGATCCTTCCCGGGGCAGAGGGGACTTCATGGGGGCATCCCTCTGAGCTGCTTGGCCATGCCATGGGGCAGTGCCATGCCGTGGGGCAGTGCTGTGCTGTGCCGCAGGGCACTGCCAGCTCTCAGGAGCCGTGGGAGTTGTTTTGTCACTGATTTGACTTGGAAATGCCCGTTTTTTCCATGGGCCGTGGCCTCCCTCCCCGCTTCCCAGCAATGAGCATGTTGGGACTCAGCTCCCATGGAGGAAACAGCTGGTTCCCCATGGGAATCCCCACGGCGAGGATCTCAGCTTCCCCTTGTGCCCCCAAGCCGGAGGGACGCCGCGATGCGCTGCGGTGCTGGGCTGCACTGCTGGCTTCTGAGGAAACTGAGTCACAGGAGGGCCGGGGCTCACGCCTGAGGCAGGGTGGTGGTGGTGGTGGTGGTGCCGCCGTGTCCTGGCACCGGCAGCGTCGGTGGAAGGGGCAGCACCGTGCCTGCCGGGGCACACCGAGGGTTGCGTTTCGGGTTGTTGCAGGTGCGGGCGAGATGCCGGTGGGTGCTGATGGTTCTCCTGCCCGCTCTGCCCAGGTGCTGCAGGACGTTCTGCGGGACCTCTACCGCCTGCTGAAGCACGTGGTGGTGGCTGAGCCCGATGGTGCAACGGTGCTGCACGCCCAGCTGGCGCTGGAGGAACTGGACACGGTGATGAGGAGGGTCCTCTTCCCCCCGCAGGCGCTGGAGAAGAAGATTGTGGTGCTGCCGTAGCGGGGCGCAGAACAAACTCTTCCTGCTCTGGCATCAGGGCCAAGCGGCTCCCCGAGGGAAAGGGTTCGCTGTGCCCCTGGGATGCCGCCGGCGGGTGCCAGCCGGGGAGGAAACCGCAGCCTGGGGAGGGCAGGCGGCTGCCCCCAGGCTCCCTGCGGCCAGGGCAGCGTGGGCTTGCTGGGACAGGGCGGGGGATTAAACAGAGACATGCTCAGCCCTGCGCCCATGACGTCTCTGGGAGCTGCGCGAAGCCCCTGGGTGCCATCGTAGCCACGTCCCGGCCCGTGGCTGGGCCGTGCTCGCCCTCACGCGCTTGGCATGGCGGAAGCGTCGTGAGCCCTGACGAGTCCCGTGGGAGGGTGGGCATCAGCCCCCAGGGCCGGCCCTGGGCTGGGGGAGCAGCTGATGGGGCCGGTGCCTCGGTGGGGTCCAGTGTGGTCAACCAGCACGGGGTGCCATGGCTGCCCCCATGGGGAGCCGGGAGGGATGGGGGGCTCTGGTGTCTGCACCCCCCCAGCCTGGGCTGCCATGCACCCCGCGATCTGGCAGGCAGCTGCCACACGGCCCTGCCTGGCTCTCCCTCAGCACCACGCTCACGCCATGGGGATGCTGGAGGGTCCTGGGACTGAAGAGCTGACTGGCGGCTCTTGCACACTTGCACACTCACTGCTGGGTGCCCACGGGCATGGAGGGAGCCTTTCTGGGTGCCAGCCCAGGGCGAGGGACAGGGACGATCCCCAGAGGCAACAGCTGAGCCGGCTCTAAATGTGATTTTAGCCAAATCCGAGTGATTTTCCCGGGCGGGGCAGAGGGAAACGGAGCCAGCATTGCTGAGCCCCTGCCCTGCCGGTGTGGTGGGGCTGTGGTGGGGACCCATCTCCTTTCACGGTGCCTCTGGGGAAGGTCCTGCCGTGGCACTGCCTGCCCTGCGCCCATTCCTGGGGTCTCCCTCACTGTGGGGTCTGAGGATAGGGCCCTTCCACTGTGGCACTAGGAGCCCCCTCCCTGCCAGGGCTGCCGTGTGTGCCGGGAAAACGGCCAGTGGCTGTGGGACCCTGCAGGGCGCCTGGCCAGGACCACCGCTCGGGGTCCCTGTGTGCTCAGGGACATCCCAGTGTTGGGGTCACCCCTCTCCCTCCAGCCAGGGCAGCCCTCATGGGTGCTGCAGCACCGCGGGCCCTGCTCCTGCGCCGGGAGCTGCCGTGTACCCACCGGGTGGGGAGAGCAGGGCTGGGGGTGGGGGTGCTGTGGGGTCCCACCAGAGTCCTTGGGGACCCAGCCCGGAGCCCCCCTCGCCCTGGGCAGCCCCCAGCCCTGCTATGCACAGCCCCGGGTACCCGTTTGCCGGCTGCCCCATGCCATGCCGGATGGTGTGAGGGGCCCAGCACCCCCCTTCCTTGCAAGGTTGGGGGTGCTGGGCTGTGTCTCCACCCCCAGCGAAGCCGCCTGCGCCAGGCCCACACCTCATCGTGCCGTGCCGTGCCGTGCCGTGCCGCTTGGCCGGGTGTGCACGGGCAGTGGGGAGCGCATTGTCCTCGCCGGAGAGCGGCAGCGGCCGAGCGCTTCTCCTTGCTCTTGCTGCCGTCAGCCTGCACCGGTGCCGGTGCCGGGCCGCGGGCACGCGCCGGGATGCTGCCATACCGGCTGTGCCTCCCCAGGGCCTGCCGTGAGCAGCAGAGGACGGTTTTTTGAATGAAAAGTCTCTTTTAATGCCGCTGGCCAGGCGCCGTCCAGCCGTCCTGCTGTGGGGAACAAGGAGGCGGCTGTGCCGGAGGAGGAGGGAGTTTGGTTTCCACCTTGTGCGGCGTTCCTGCGGCCAGTCGCCGGCCAGCAGCGGGGAGAGGTGCCCGGCAGCCGCGGGCACAACGAAAGGTAAGGAACCACGGGGTGACCCAGGGGCTGGGTCCCTGCCGAGGGGCATGGGGAGGGCTGCGGGCTGGGGACATGCTGCCCCTGTCCCCCTTCCTGCTTCCCGCAGACGGGAGCCTGCAGCCATGGGGACCCCACATGTGCCCAGCAGCACCGCAGCAGCGGCAGAGGCATGACCACATCAGGTCTGACCCGACCGCGCTGGGTTTCGCACCTCCACGCCCCACCGCTGCTGGGCTCAGCCGGGCCACGTGGGAGCCCCACTGGCAGTGCCGAGGGTCCCAGCGCATCCCTGCCCCGTCCCCGCCAGCCACGGGCTCACCAGTTCCTCACCACCCACTCCAGGCACTGCTCTGGCACCTACGGTGGGGAGTTTCCAGCTGGCATCACCATGGTGCTGGGGGTTTTGGCTGAGGGGGACTTACCTGGCCAGGGTGCTCCTGCCAGAGAGATCCCCTTCCTGGAGCTGGGAGGGTCCAGGCCTAATCCCAGTGTCACCTCGCACCTGGCTCCCAGCCCAGCAGGACACAATGGTCCGTATCAGGGTGAGGAACCCGAAAGTGCTGGATTTGAGCCCAAAGCTGAAGCTGCAGCTCCTCTGGACTCAGCATGGTCCTTCCTGGGGCTGGGTGCCCCTGCCATCAGCCCGACACAGGGACACTGTGTGTGACCAGCATAGGGTTGCTGTCCCCTGGGTGGCCCTGGTCCTGCCCTGGGACCCACCAGCCATGGGGACAAGGTGACACGGCAGGGCAGGCCCTGGGCATCCCCAGGTGGCTCATAGCCATGGGGGGACACGGTGGCACGGGGAGGTGACACGTAGGCATCATGAGAGGGGCCCCAAGAGTGGGGCTGGGGGATGGGGGAGGCAGACTGGCCCTGGGGGGTGGCACGGGGGGACCCTGAGGTGTCCCCGGGTGTCCCAGTGCTGCTCTGGGTGATGAGCTGTGGCCGGTCCCTGGTGCGGTGCTGTGCCGGTGCCCGTGACAGCTGCCACCATGCCATGCGATGCCAGTGCCGGGTGATGCCGGAGCCGGTGCAGCACCAGTGCCGGGTGATTCCGGTGCCAGGTGATGCCGGTGCCGGTGCCAGCGCAGCACCAGTGCCAGGTGATTCCGGCGCCGGGTGATGCCGGTGCAGCGCCAGTGCCGGGTGATGCCGGTGCCGGGTGATGCCGGGGCCGGTGCAGCGCCAGTGCCGGGTGATGC